TGATTGAACTTCAAAAGTCAATGAATTGTATTTTAGTATTATCAATGAACTAACTGTCAATATATTTGATTCTTCTTAATTTGTCCTTTCAAGTTCATTGTTAGCCAATTACAACAAGTTGAATTAATAATCTCTTTTAGACATCTTCCCATGTGAAGACGTATATATATAATACCAACTTATAATAAGATGATAAATAATAATAATAAAGTCAATGAGTTGTATCTTAAATAATCTTGGAATTATTGTAAATCCAGATCTACCTATTTCAATTATACTTCATTTACTAAACAACTCTCTTTGCCATTATTTCTCAAACAAGGGCAGGGCTTGTAATATTGCTAAACTTCAGAGGCAAGTTCATTTTCAAAACTCTCTTGTTTTCTTTATCTTTGATCTACCATGGATTTCATTTTTCATTACAATTCCAAAGATATGATTAACAGAAAGATTTTTCTTTTGAAATTATCTCTTGAAGATTCTTCTTCTAAGTTGTTTTGATCTGTTAAAATTAAGCACTTTAAGTCTTGGTCAAATATTTAACAAACTCGAACGGTAAGATCTAAGGGGAACAATGAAAAACAAGAAAAATCAGAAATGTCCCGTAAACAAAGCAGCCTCCTGCACAAAACATCCAACGTTAGTAGAGTACTGTAGAAACATTAGTGGCTTCTTTCACGGCTCAAACTCATGATCTATAGGTTACATGGAGACAACTTTACTGCTGCTCGTAGGCTCCCGTCAAATCTCATAAACCACAACACCAAAGTTGCATCAGACAGACATCATCTTCATTCACAAGCTAATTAACAATCTCCACAAGTCTAAGTCAACTTGTAATATGAATATTAGGTAGACGTACATATTTTAAAAATTGATTAAGAAGATGATGGTTATTAAAAAGACTTGAAAAGTCAATGAATTGTATTTTAATCTTGGGATTAATTAGTTGTCAATCTCTACTTGTCGGGCCATTCAGTTTTGTATATCATATGGTTTGAAGGAATGAAAGAATATGATGGTTGTTGAAGTGCATGACCATCTCATCTAAAAGGTTAAGTTGTTCGTCAAAATAATTTCATCTGACCTTGATCAATATATCGACAAAATTAATAAGAATAATAAAATACTATACATTTTTTGTTCTGAAAATACAAATGCTATCAACTACTAAAGATGAAAATCTGTTTGTGTGAAAAAAAATTGACAACTTGCAATTTTTGACTTTTTAATTAAAGGAAAGGAAGGGAAATTGCAATCATGGAAAGAGGAAAACAAAATCAAGAAGAAAGAGAGGAAGAGAAAGCAAACAACTCATCGGTATGTTTGAGAAAACTCTCTATAGCTATGTTAGGTGCCTACATAAAAAAAAAGACATAAATTTTATGTAATACTTTCTTATAGATTATATTTTTAATTGTATATGTTCTACTTTGTTGTTTCAATTTCTTTAGCATGATCAAAACTTTTATTGTAGATATCAATATGCTTCTAGTTCTTGGTGTTTTTTTTGTATCAACTTATTATGTTCATAATTTGCGACACGATTTTTCACATTAATACCATTTTTTACTTTAAGCATTTTCAAAAATGTCATAAAGAAAAAGAATTTGTTGCTAAGTTATATATATATATTAAGTGGTATGCGCATTATAACAAGTTAATTATAAATTGTAGACGAAGATCAAAGTCTAACACAAGAAGATCTCATTCTTTAGAAAGATAAATTGTTAAGATACCTAGCATCCGGTCAATCAAAGTTACATATGGAGAACAAAAAAAAATGATAAATTGATATTTTTATTTGAATTTCATTTGATTTTTTTAATAATTAAAAAAAGATGTACCCTTTCAGGTTGGGACAATTAAAAAACGATTTAATCTAAAAACCTCTAGCACCAAATTTCAATATGCAAGTAGATGATAAATTAAATTACTATAACGGTATAAAATTTACAAAATAATAGAAGAAATACTTCCTGACAATATGCATAGAAGTATATGCATTAAGGATAATTAATTTCCATGTTTATAACCTTCCGTGGAAAGTGTATTTTGCAATACTATACCTTCCATTGGGACAAAAAGTTCCGACTTAGGGTGTGTTTGGTATGAAGGAAAACATTTTCTGAAAAATATTTTTCAATTTTCTCATGTTTGGTTGGCTTATATATTTTGGAAAATGTTTTTCAAATCAACTTGTTATCCTAAAATTTAAGGAAAATGACTTCCCTTAAAAAATCAAGGAAAAGATTTTTAAAACTCTCCTCCAACCTCAAATTACAATTTTTTTTCTTACCCCTACCCTCCCCATCCAAAAAAATATGAAGAATTTAAAATTACTTTTTGGAAAAAATCATTTTTTACACCCTTCCCCCAAACCAGCCCCTCCCCCAACCAAAAAAATTAAAACTTGAATTTTTATTTTTTTTGAAAAATAGTTTAAATTTTAAATTTCATTTTTTTATTTACCCCACCCAACACCTAACCACCCCCTGTCACGACCCAAAAATGGACATGATGACACTTGTTTATTCCCACCAAGACAAGTCAGCCTCAACCCAACAAAACGAAAGAAATGCGGAAAGTAAAACAAGAACAAGATAAAAGCGGAAAACTTATGCATTCTATTAAAACCCCAAAACATGATTGTCACGTGTACAAGCCACTAATACATAAGTGTAAAAATGAGAGATAATTACAAGTCCCAATGTCTTTGTTTCTCAGATAGAACAAAACATAAAATAAGGAACAAAAGGACATGTCAGGATGACAATTAAGCAGTACCTGTCAAAAGTCCTTGACAAGCCTCGAAAAATAGGAGAAGAAGAAGAGCAATCACACGGTACTGGGCTCAGAACCTACACAAGTGTAGAAGCAAGGAGTGAGTATCAACCAACACGGAACTCACCAAGTAACCAAATAAACAAGGCAAATTAGCTAGAGATTTAATACTCCTTTCATCCCAACCGAACCTAGCTCCTCAAACTACAACATGCATAGAAATCAACCCAACCTAATAGTTTCACAATACACAGTTCCCAAGGTTTAACCACGCAGTTCAACTAACGTGTATCAAATATGTCAATCGCAAGTAACAAGTAGATCAATCACAAGTATCGAAACACATCAAAGAACAATAGTCAACTCTTGCCGGAACCATTTTCCTTCGGCAAGTAGATCAATCACAAGTATCAAGTGTTTTGCCAGGTGGGATGCAAGTGTTTTTTTTGTTTAATAGTTAGATAGTTAAAGTGCATGTTTGTCCACTTTGAAAGTTTAAGGTCAAAGATATAATTTGAAGCCAAGTTAAGGGTCCTATTTATGTGTTATGCCAAAAATAAATGATCGATGGCTATAAGAGACGTGTCACCTTATTATTTTAGAAATTGCAATCATATATCATATATATATAAGAGAACCCTAGACCCGCATATATATATATATATATATAAGAGAACCCTAGACCCACCTACGTGGCGCCACCACAAACCAGGATTCCCTTTTAATTTATAATATGGCAGAATTGTCACGCCCCGAGCCTATACCCTGGACATGGTTGGCACTCGAAGACCATTGCTGGCCCCCAAGCGAACCTTGGCCTGACTTTCTTAACTCAGCAGAAAACTCAATGCAATGCAAGGTTTTCAAAACAACCTGACTGAAATAAAAATCTGGCCAAAAAGGCAACTTGAGTCTCAAAATAGAATATTTACAAGTATACATAGATGAGAGACTCCAAACTAACTGACTAACTGTCAATGAAGCCTCTAAAATACTGAGATGGATGTTGGGACAGACCCCACGACATCCTAATACAACAAAACTTGAGAGAACAAAATAACCGAGTCCTCCGGAATGCAAAGAGCCTCACCACTGACTCTGAAGTACTCAACTGGATCAACGGCAAACCAGATGTTGGCCCTGGGCACCTGTGTCTGCATCATAATAAGATACAGGCCAACTGGCATCAGTACATTGAATGTACGAGTATGCGAGCTGGAAAGCTAAACCACAACTTAAGCTTGGAAGGAGTACAAAGGAACTCTTACCTTGGCTCTGTTCAACTCATGAATAACTGAACTCAATATATAAAGCAATACGACACATGCAATATATAAAGCTTGTAAAACAATGTAAACAACTTAGCTTGTTAAAGATAAAACAATAACAACTCAACTTTAAAGAACCAACCCAACACTATGAACTCACATACCTTAATAGGGATCACCCCCGAAGAAAAACACGACGATCTTTACGAAGTTTGCTTCTTCTTCTCCTTTCTCTCCTTTTCTCTCAAGAACCCTAACTCTTACTCTTTTAAAAAGGGAAAAACTGATCAAAAATCAGTCTTACACCTTAATATATATCCAAAGACAAGGCTAGGGAAAAGACCAAAATACCCTTACAATTTCCGGACGGATTCCCTGCCAACTGCCCAACTTTCAAAGGGCATAACTCGCTCATACGAACTTGGAAACGAGCAAACTCGATGGCGTTAGAAAGACCAATCCACGAACTTTGCAAACATAACTGGAACTACACCTATATCATCCTGAGTTAGGAGTTATAACTGTTCAAAGTTGGCCAAAAATTCATTATTTTCCATACTTTAACCAATTTTTTTCCAGATTTTTAATTCTTTCCAAAAAGACTATTTCCAAGTTTTAAGCTTCTTCCTAGTCACCAACTTGCCAGATGTCACAAGAATGAAACATGAAAAATAAATAAAAGAGAAACAGGACGTCCAATAGAATCATAATCATAACGTAGGACGGAACGCGAGTGACATATGAGTATAAAAGTGGCCATAATATGCTGGAAGAAAGAGAGGAAGAGGAAGCAAACGACTCGTCAGTATATAGATAACATATTGCACGGTAGAAATATGGCTTTGTAAATTTAATAGGACTAGGAGAATAACATTTGGTCTTTTGGCAGGTGTCATTTTCTGCTCTTCTCAAGGACGGTGCCAATGTTCTGGATTTCATGGAGAGATTAAAGAATGAAGAAGATCAAAAGGCTGTTGGTGTGGATCTAATTGAAAAGCTGACATTTATTTGTACATATGTCCAGCTTTCTTATTCCGATTTGGAGCAGTTTGAAAATATAATGACTAGAAAAATACAAGAGGTTGAGAATCTGCTTCAACAAATTTTAGATGATGATGGCAAAGACGTCGGGTGTAAATATGTCCTTACTAGCCTCGCCGGTAATATGGATGACTGTATCAGCTTGTATCATCGTTCTAAATCAGATGCCCCCATGATGGATAAGCAATTGGACTTACTCCTCTTTAATCTCTATCATCTATCCAAGCATCGTGCTGAAAAGATGTTTCCTCGAGTGCCTCAATATGAGGTTCTTCAGAATGTATGTGGCAACATCAGAGATTTCCATAGGTTGATAGTGAATGGTTGCATTAAACATGAGATGGTTGAGAATGTCTTACCTCTGTTTCAACTGATGGCTGAGAGAGTAGGACACTTCCTTTGGGAGGATCAGACTGATGAAAATGCTCAACTCTCCAAGCGAGATGAGAATGGTAGAGACTCTCGACTCTTCAAGCTAGCACATCTACTCTTGAACATTGTTCCAACTGAACTGGAGGTTATGCACATGTGTTATACAAATTTGAAAGCTTCAACTTCAGCAGAA